GCTCGCCAGGACCGTCACCGCCATGCAGCCGCTCAACTGGCCCAGCCGCCTCCGCGCGCTGCGCACCACTCTCGTCGACGCGCGCCTCCGCGCCCTCAACGTGGTCCAGCGGGTGCAGTATGCTAATGTGTACGCCTTGTCCCACATTTGGCACGTTGCTCAGGTTCTGCCCATCCCCGCCGGCGTGGCCGCGGACGCGAGGAAGGCCCTGTCGCGGTTCATCTGGGCCGGCGAGCCCCTCCGCGTCCCCCTCGCGGTGCTGGTGAAGCCGACGCGGCGCGGCCGTCTCGGTCTCCACGACCCCCACGTCAAGTCGCAGGCCATGTTCGCGGCCCGCTGGATGTCCGCGGCGCGCGCCGAGGAGCCCACCCTGTCCGGCGCCTGGCTGCCCGTCCTGCAGGCCCTCTTCGAGGACGACGAGGCTGTGTCCCCCGCCGTGCGCTACTTCAGCAGCGCGCGCACGACGTACCGCAAGGTGGACGTGCCGGACGACGTCCAGGGCAGGGCGCTGTCCCGCCTCATGTACCGCAGTATCCTCGAGAGCGCCGCCGCCGTGCCGCGCGTGCAGCAGCGCCGCCCCGCCGCCAACTGGGACTTGGTGTGGAGGAGGATGTCCTCCAAGGCCTTGCCGCTGCCCGCCCGCGCTGCCTGGTTTTCCCCGCCGTCCACGATGTCCCCCGACCAACGCCCGCTCAAGGCCACTCACCAGGCTGCCGACGCGGCGTGCCGTGCCTGCGGGGCTGCCGAGGACACGGTGCTGCACCGCCTCACCGAGTGCCAGGCATCCTCCAAGGACATCTGGGCCTGGACGGCCACGCGACTGGCCACCCTCGCCGGCGTCGCCCCCTCCACCCTGGCCCTGGGAGTCCTCCTGGTGCCGGACCTGGGCGTCAAGGACGACGACGACGACGAGGTGACGACCTCATAAGGGCATCATAAAGTTATCATAAGAGTTAAAGTTAATACCCTTAACTTCTAACATCTTTTCAAAAGGGTAGGTTATTTTTTTATGTCTGAAAATTGTGGATATACTTTTGCAAGTACTTTCAAAAGTCCGTACCCTTAACCTTTAGCGAACATTGTCTTATGTTACGTTATGAAAGCAGTGTTAGTTAAATGTTAAGTTAAGTTAAGGATCTCTGTGTCTAAGTAACAAGTGTGATATTTTTGCCTACTTTACTGTCATCTGCCTCATGCTAATGTTTTAATCCTACAGTTGTACTAAGTCCCCAGTTTATTTATTTTCTATTTTCATTTTAACCTGCACTCAACTAGAGATCCTTTTAACTGCTGTAATTGCCTGGCACCTGGCACTCACGCGATGTTCCTCTGTTTCAGGTCGGTGTAGGGCACGGGGGGCCGAACCCACTTCGGTGGCAATAAGCCCTCCGCCGCCGCCGCTGTCCTGAAGCAGAGGAGCATCGCGAGACGTCCAACTCTCAAAGCCCAATGTTTTAACTGTAAATTAATGGTCATCAATTTTTGCGCACTTCACTTCAATCCGTTATTATTGACCATTGTTATTGTTATTGTTAAATATTCTATTACAAATTGTTATGAAACTACCTATGGCCAATAAACATGTTAAAAAAAAAAAGTGGACGAGTGGAAACCCCATGATCGCTCCGGCGCCCGCCGGCCAGCGCGTAGGCAAGCCCGCCCGCACGACGGCGAGCGGGTTGCATACCTTCAAACTTCTAGGGGGTTTTCTGAAACACCTGGTATACCTGTCTTCTCTCTCTTTCATTTCACACGTGGCGCCTGGAGGCAACCCCCACCCAGCACCATATGGCCTATAAACTTTTTAGGAAAACACCACTGCCCATACCAAATGTTATTTTCACAATGAAAGCTCCACATTTTGAATGGCATGCGTTCTAATCTTGACCAAGAAAGAGCTGTCCTGCCTTTACCCCCATAACTACCTCAACTGACCGTAGGGTGTAAGTCTGGCTGTTTCACTCGACCCGAAGCACGAGCCAGTCGTCCGGGGAGCAGCTGTGCACGGGAAGGGTGTGGGAGACGTCCTACGCGTGCGGTGTGACCGTCATGCCTGTATGCGTTCCGTGCTCGGCGGCGACTGCATCATGAACACCCCTCCACTGCGCCGTCCCTGCGTGCTCGTAAAGTCCTTGAAGCACCGTACTGTACGCACGAGGCGCTTTAGGACATCCTAGGATGTCCAGCTGCAGGACACTGAGCTCCCCGGCAGCAGCTCACCGGCTTGCCGTGCCGTGCGCCACATCCTGCAATGCCACGAAGTTCCTCAACAACAGATCACAAGCTTACCGGTGAGGGTGGGTATCACTCTTCCCTCTGCGCTTGCGGATCGCCGAAACGTCCTCGCAACGACTGCAAGTGTCAGCCGGTGCCGCTGGAGCGCCTGCGAAGTTTAGAGTAGGTCAGCCCGCCTAACACATCCGCCCGACGCGGGTGAGAGCTGTCGCTGGCGCCTTGCAACCTCGTGAGTGCCTTTGCATCTGCTGAAAGAACATCGGATTTTCGTTGAGTCGCAGGCAACAGCTTCGCTGGCCCTCGCTCCTCGTGAGCACCAAGATTCTATCCGCGGTAGACCCCGCCACGCCACGGCGTCGCTCGCTCGCTGCCCGCAGCCATCAAGGGTGCAATGGTGGATCCAGAGGCGGCCGTTTTCTTTTTTTTTTTTTTGGGGGGGGGGGGGGCAAAGAAGTACTTTTTGCCTAAACACAGGGGCAAAGTATCTCTTTCTGCCTAATCACAGGGGCAAAGCAGCACTTTTTGCCTAATCACAGGGGCAAAGTAGCACTTTTTGCTTACCTTTTAGGCGGCTATCTAGGTGCTGTGGGAGGGGTGAAAACCGAGGGGTCAACCACTCAGCTCAGGAGTGTACACAGCATTACTGATTACCAGTGATTGATAACCTTCAAAAATAATCAAAAAACTCTATAATTTTGGCCAGCAAACAGCTTTTTTTGGCCTATTTTCATGAGAAAACCCCTAAAATCTGAAAAAAAACTGCGAAAATGGACAGTTTTGGCGTGTGATTACCAATGATTACTGGACGAAGTGCACACACGATTGCCAGAATGGTTGACCCCTCGCATTTTGCCCGCATAAGCTAGTTCGTCGGTTAGGTTCCTGTCGAGCTGCATCAACGAGCTCGGCGCGAGGCTCTGCGGCCAGGATGGCGACCAGGAGGAGCTGCAGCAGGAGTTTGCTGAGGTCCGTGCGTGCATGGTGGAGCTCCTGTCGAGAATCGAGAGGGCTGGTCTGCTCCAGGGCGCATTTCAAGGTGGCCGAGTTCGACGGCGAGACCGTGGGGCTCCACCGCCGCGCTGCGCCGCCACGACCACAGCGTCATCGGGCACCATCGGGACGGCCGGAGCAACGTGGTCACCGAGTCCGTCACCATCGCCGAACTAGTAAGTTCGCACTATGTGAATGTGTTCGCAGCCCCAGCGCCGGAGCGTTAGGCAACCCAACGTGAGCACGAAGGGGTGCCTACCCGCACGGCAACCAGCTGGCCTTTCAAAGGCAAATGTTTCAAAGTGTTTCTTGTAGGTGTAGGTATGTTTTAAAATAAAGGTCGTATCATCTGCTAAGACTTTCTCGAGCTTGCCAATGCCATGCTGAAGAGGCAAAGAGGTGCGGCCTTCTTCAAGAAGGCGGTCATGGTGCTCCTACCCAAGACGCCGGAGACTGTGAGTGACCTGTGGCCAGTGACTTTGTTGAATGTGGATGGGGGGGGGGGAGGTGTTTTCTAGAGCGCGGTCGTGACGAGGATGAAGGGCATGCAGGGACGGATCTTGCAGTCCATGCAGGAGCAGTCGGGATGCACCGGGACGCTGCAGGCTGCAGGGCGCCCTCGGTGACGTGAGGGATGCCATCAGCATCGCCGAGCACACCAAGACCTCCCTGTGCGTGGCGGCCCTCGACATCTCCGCGCCATTCAACAACCTTAGGCACTCGTTCATGTGGGCGGCGCTCCGTCGGCGCGGCGTCATATAACTGCTCACCGGGGCGCCACCACCAGGGTGCTCGTTAACGGCGGGCTCACCGAGGCCATTCCCATGGACGTTGGCGGCCTGAACCTCCTTGACCCGTCCAGGAAGGCCCTGGCCTTGTTTGCGGCGCCGTGGGAATCGTTGGCGTGGGCCTCCCTCAAGACCATCTCTGGCTCCCGGCTGCGATTCATCCAGCAGCACCACGAGGACACTCCGTGGCCACTGGCCCACGAGAAGCACTTTGTGGTGGCCTGCAGGAACGCGCCGCCCTCTCTGACGTCGTGCCGCCAGACATGGTCGGGAAGGGCGTCAGCCGGGGGCTCTACAAGAAGGGCCTCGCCGCGAACGTCCATACGTGGACAGCCATGACGGCGGCCTTCGGAACCGCGCGCCGCTCTGGGCGTGATTCTTCACTGGATATAACATTCCACAACTTTCTTGTTGCCAGCACCACGGCCACCAACACCGCGGCGTCACACGACGGTTTTGGAGGTAGGCAACCTTTGTCTGCCTGATGCACGTAAATGGGGCGGGCTGGCCTCCGGCACAGTCGTCTGCTGTGTGGATGTGACTGCAACTGCAAAGACTTGTTGCGGCATATTTAAACCCCAATCAAATCTTTTTTTCTTACGTTCAAGTGGCTACGTGAAAAAGGTGGAATTAAACCGCAGCTCTGGCTACTTGAACCAAATTTCAAATGCACAAGACAAAGTGCAGAAGATTTCCTTGGATGTGAAAAGTTTTTTCTAGGAAATGAAACTGACGCTGGCATGAAATATGCACTGTGGGACAAATTCGTTTACACCTGCCGTACGTGCGCCTGCATACTTTAGTCCAACGGAAGCGTGTCTGTGGACATCTGACGTACATGCGCCCGGTACTCTTGCCCCGACGTACGTGCGCCCAGTACTTTTGCCCCATGGACGTATTTATTAAGTGAACAAACCCATAATGACTGAGTCTTACTGGAATGAAAATAGAGATAACAAAATTGTATTAAAAAGGGAAAACAACATAATACAAAATATTATTTATTGACAATAAACTTTTTTTTGTTTTTGAGAAAACAATTGCACTTGGACTTAAAGTACTTGAACTTGAACTTAATTCAACTGAAGATTATTCTTTACTTGAGCTTTGTAAATAATACTCAGAAATAACCTGAATTATAGCTGTAAGTTCTTGTGGACACCTGATCTCTTGGCTTTCTTTCCAGATGGATCACACTTTGATCCATTTTTATGCCTTGTCATTTGAGCTTGTGTTCCTGCTACGGACTTCCCGCACAAGAGACAAGTCTGTCTCTTAGTTTTGTTTCTTGGTGGATAAAGAGCATCAAGCTTCTTTATATATTGTTGATACCTTCGGTCATTACTGTGACACTTATCAACGTGGTCCCTCATTCTTTTTGTCTTTCCATAGCCATACTCTTTTGAACAGGAAGGTTTCGGACAGCAGACAACCTTCCTACCTACTGGCCTAGAAGGTACTGCAGGCGCTGCAGGCATGGCGTGCTCATCCTGTGGCATCGCAACATCTTCCTCATTCTGTGCACGAAAGATGTCAAATTCAAAAGTTAAACTGGTTTGAAAAACATATGGCAGTTTGTGTGAAAAATGACATTCACTTATTTTTTTACATAAATTACCTCTTCTGTCTCATTTTTTTCACTTGAAGACTCCCTCAAGTTGTTGCCTTTATCTTCTTTGAGAATAGAAGAGTAGAAGTATGGGTCTTCTTCCTTCGGAACCACAGGCATCGTCTGCTTTGTATAGTTTTCCAAGAGGTCAGGTCTTGTTGCAGCTACAAGTCTCGCAATGTCCAAGTGTGCTTCAAAACCCCTGTAGGAAAAACAGTAACAATACTTTTGATGACAGATACCATCTGTTCATGCTTAAAACCTTACAAAATTTTTTGAGCATACACAGTACAAATTAAGTTATGATGTTATGCGATGGAATAGTTCACATATTACCAAGTATTTTCTTGGTAAGCTTATGTATGCTAAAAATACTATGTTGTAACAAGCTGCTTGTCTCTGTAAGACCTAAACCAGTTTGTAAGGTTTTCAGTGTGTTAAATTGATCCATGAAGCAAGGAAGGGGATAACTCAATTTTCATCATTTTCCAGGAAAAACAAAACACAGTTTGCAGGGCAAACTAAATCCATTGAGATGAATGATGCAATTGCATTTTTGTCAAAAAAGCATCAGTAATAACTGTAAAAAATTTCAAAACAGTAACATCACTCTGTAGACGGTTTCTGTGATTTAAATTTTTAGATCAGAATGAACTACAGAACCATGTTTACTTGGTTCTCCCAAACAATGGGGAATGTGGAGACAACTCAAGTGGAGCTGAGGTCTGTGTAGAGTCTGTACTGCTGCGGAACATTCTTTAAGCTACCTGTTTTTCCCATTCGTTGTTTTAATTTAATAGGGAGTTAAGTTTAGTTGACTCTTCTTACATTAAATTCATGAAAACCTGAGATGGGTTGATCCTTTTTACATTAGATTCATAAAGACACAAGTTGAGTTATCTTCTTCTGCTATTTTGTGAAATGGAGTCATGTGGACTTCGGTTGAGTTGACTCAATTTTCCGATAAAATTTAGACTGCAAAAAGGGTCAAGTTGAGCTTTATCTAATTTCCATGTAGTTTTTCCCCTAAACTGCTGGGAATGGAGTCAAATAATTTGGGGTAAAGATGCAAACAATCTTGAGGCACAATAATAAGATAAAAACTCAATTTGGAGACAAGTCAAGCTATTCCCTTCTTCCGCTTCATGGATCAATAATTATTAGTATTATTATTGTTTATTACTGTCATCAGAGCCTTTTGTCACATATAGTGTGCACAGTCTTGAAAAAACAACGCCTTCTTTATTTATTTACCCAAAGCAAATTTTGAAACCTAATAACACAAATCTTAGCTGTGAGCCTGCAAAAAGATTACCCTTGAGAACCTGATGGGTTCCCTTCTACATATGTGTGAAAAGGAAGATTTACTCACATGCACTTGCACTGAGGTGCAACTATTCCATATGGTATCCAGCTTTCGGTAGCGAAGTTACATGCCTCAGCTATATTGAAGCCTGAATTAAATCCCACATGGACTGCGTTGGGACATACAACTACGCTCTCTCCTGCTCTCTGTACAACCTGTTAATAAAGTATGAGTAAATTGAAATTTATTTTATCTACTTTATCATGAGCATGTGTATAACTCACCACATTAAAAGGAATTCCATATTCCTGCAGCCATTGTGGGGTAATAACATAATACTTGTGGCCAAGAAGGTTGCTGCAAGTTGAGTGGGCTAAACTTTGTGTGCATTGCACTAAACAATTGTGCAGCTTTCTCACATATTTTGGTGGTATGACAAGCCTAAAGTAAAAAACAATTAAAGAAATTCATTAATATTTCTACATAGCAGTCACAGACCATAAAACTAGTAAGATTTTGAAGTGCTAGAACTATTTGTGACAGCAAGTTCAATGTGTTGTTACAATTTATTCACTTTTAGATGATTCAATTCACAGAGTTAGAGGCCCGGACTCCTATCAGTTTCAAAGTTATAGATGATTACATTAACTTTTAGTAGCTCCTCCCAAATTCTCCACACGCCTTATGAAAATAAAACTTTGCCACCAGTTTCTGGTAAGGGAACTGTCATATGGAAAAAAATGAAGAAAAAAAGTTGCCACATATGAAATTTCACCCTAGTACAAGCCGTGAAGTCTGATTCCCTAAGCTTGATTTTTTTTTCCTTCAAACGTTAGAGATTTAGCATCACTATGATTATTCTACCTTCATGCCAGTACTGGAGACATTAGAAACCTATTAGAGCAACCTATTTTCTATGTCAACAGAGGTTCAATGCCCCGAATTAAAAGTGGAGAATTTGCGAGAAACAAATTAAAGTGTTTGCACCCCCTCAAAAATCCAAAACTACAGGTTCTCTCACAGGGACAAATTTAAAAAAAAATTGAGCCTTGTAACACAAATAATGATTAGTTAATTTCTTCATCAAAAGCTCTATCAAGGACATGCAAGTAATGTTTACCAGATTTTAGGTGCTCCGTAGTGTAGTACATTCCATGAGTATAAAGAGAAATCTTCAATATGCGCAGCAAAGAAGGAGTGAGTATTGCCGTAGTACAAGAAAGGTAAAGTGATTCCAGGGTAGTGATTGGGCAAAAGCCGTAGCAGTGAAGTAGAGGCCAGGCAATACAATCCAAAATGAGGGCTCATCCTTATCCTGTCGTTGAAAGTCAACTCAATGCCTGACCCGTACATCACTCCTTTCTTCAAGTCACTTCCTTCACAAGAGACGTTGTCAGTGGCGCAGCCTGAACAAGAGCATACTTCTTCCGTAATCCTAGTGTCCTTTGACATTGCAGTGTCTACAACCTTCTTCTTCTGTCCAATCGCAAGAGTCTGGAAACGATCAAAGAACTTTCGAAGTGACGCAGCATCACATTCTCCCTGTTTTTTAAGTTTGGAGAGGGAGGGTCCACTTCGGTTAAGATGTATAGCTTTCTTAGGAAGAACATCACTATAAAAGTGTTTCACCAAATCATTTTCAGACTTCTCTAGAGCAGACGAGCTGCAACAAAAAGGGTAAAATGTATTGAACTGTTTACAGGAAGAAACTGTACTTGTTGACAAAACGCTTGTGGTGATGTGTGCTTACCAACAGCTGGACATGGTGTAATTTTTTTCATTCGTCACTGCATCCACGAAATTTGTAATATCCTGTGCAGAGCATTGCTGCATTTCGTTTTCAACTTGTTTGCCCGGTTCACTACGTGAGTGAGGGTAGGATCGGAGGGCAAAGACTGAAGAGCAGTGTGGCAAATGGACGGCAAATTGCTTATAGGCTTCCGCTAGGCGTTCTTTATCGAGATTAAGGAATATCTTTAATGGAGATCCTTTTCCTTTGATTGAATCCTCCAGTACTACCTGAAAGCAGAGAACAAGAATATTTTACGATTGTGGGCATGGAAGTGAACTCCACCTGACCTGGGCTACTCGTCCCACTAATAATATACCTTAAACACTCCGGCCTCTTTCACTGATGCATTACTTTGCTCGATGTCCTCCACAAACCGGGGAATGTTAAACAACTGGTGTTCATTCGCGGTAAAAGTTTTAACACAGGTATTCATGATTGAATTATTATTGAGAACCACGCAAAAAGCAACACAACAACACAGTGTGAAAAACAAAACAAATGCAATCGACAGTGTACCAACCCCACGAATTCGGCCTCCCTCTCGTACAATTTTTTAAACGTGGGTGTTGTAGCCCGTGCAGTTTCTTAAAAATAAAAGTCTTAAATTCAATTTCTTTGGATCAAAGCATTCATTTCTGGAGGCTTATTGACCAAGGAAAAGCAGTGAAAGCGAAGTTTTCGTTTCGGTGGCTGCAAATAACTGCATGTTACTGCACATAACTGCTGCTGACTGCAAATAGACGTGAGCAGATCATATCATCGTCTGCACCATCATCATCAGCAAAATTTCAAATTATGAGTGCAGTACGTTGTCTGTTATGTTTTTTAAGATTGAAACACTGAGGCAACATTTTCTGTATTATTTAAGCTTAATATTAGGTGGTTAAGGATAACGCTTTAGTAGCCTCTTTCCTTTTTACCTAAGTGCCTGTTCACGGATATTGAGGTTATGTCCACCGTCTCTTCTAAATTCTGTGACAGTAGTCAGAAAAAAACACCAAATGACAAATATGCCTTGTCAGAGAGTGGCATGGTCAATCAGTAACAAGCACTAGCTGTAACGGCGTACAGTTTAATATCCTGTCATGTGGCCTAGCACTAATGGTCACCGATGCTGCTTTTCAATTTGTTCATTATGGAATAACCGATTGTGAATTTCTAACAGTAGCGGCAGTGAATCTGAACATACCGTTTAAGGTTTTGGTTTCTATATGGGGCAGATATAATGCAGATAGTTGAAACGAGGACAACAGAGCTACACATTACAGTTGTGTTCCAAATTTAGAACATTGGTGGGTCCTTGCAATTTACAAAGTTTGTCACATAGTGATATTACTCTATTTTGATGTGACTAGAATTATTGCAGCTGCATTTTATTTCAAGGTGCTTATGTTCGTAGACTATATTGTGTCTCTGTGTAGGATTACTCATGTTACTTCAATGTGTTTGTTATCACTGATGTAATGTCCTCGTGTCTCAATGCTGTTTTGTACCTGTCTTTTAAAATTTATGTTTTATTAGTTTTCTAATTCATACGAGTGTTCTTTGTTTCACTTCAGAATCATCAGAATAATTACACTTTGTTTGTTGCAGTGACAGTGTTCAGAATATGTCTACAGTTTGTAAGATAAAAAAGGAAACCGAGAATCAATGTCTCTTCGATACTTTCACAAGTTTTGAAAATGGGGATCTCCTCGAGGTACAAAACTAATGTTTACTTTTCTTTTAAATCCCGATTGTTAACTATAGCCAACTTAGAATTATGAAATACTGCAGTGCAGCGCAGTGCAGGAATTGGGCTATGTGGCAACCACAATGTATTTTCTTATTTATCATTGATGGAACAGGTCTGAGGGCAAGCCTTTTTAAATAACATGGTGAGGTGGTGACAAACCGTGGCGGCAATTTAGAAAAACATATGTAACTTTAACAAAGTTAGTTTTTTTTAAAGAAAATGATAAACTCAAATTTACATTTACAAACGATGACTGACTATTACAAGTAACAAATTGGGCAGATGCAGTTACAAATTAGAAGTGATGGGAGGTCAATACGTAGCAGATAGTTTAGTTAAAAGGAGCAGGTTTGGGAGGAATAGGCTTTTCTTTTTTTGGCGAAGAGCTTTTTGCTTATGGCAGAAGAGCTGAAGAGCTGGCAATGTAATTCAGTCAGAGATTCTCATTGCTTAGGCAAAGTCCACACCAATACTTGCTTTGAAAACTGAATTTTTATCTTATCCTTCTTTTACAGACTTATGACCTCAAATTAAATTACAATCAATCTGATGTAAAAGAAGAACATGCTTCAAAGGAAACTTCAGTTGTATTAAGAACCTCAAAAGATGCCCAGGAACTTCTGCGAGCCAGAGAATTTCTTCTGCAATATTCAGCATTTGCAAGGAATAGAAGGTATTTAATAGATTCAGAGCGAATGTTAGTTGTCCAATGTCCATCATGCTTTGCTGAGTTTAAGGGTTGCTCTGACCGTATGTTACGTCTGATTGATCACATTTTAGCAAGACATCCAAACAGTACTAACCGTTCCTTTACGCAGGTTAAGAAAAGGTACAACTCTTTAATAAACTTGTACAGGAAACGGTTGAAGGATTGAAGTACTTTTTGGGGTTACTCTAAAGTGAATATTTGTTCCTTTCGCGCCTACATTGTGTTACATTGGAAGCCTTATGTGTAAGTTTTATAATTGACCCACATAATTGCAACATTAATATGAGCAGAAAAAAATATGAATTTCTAGCATAGGCAGCTCAATATACTGAATTCAAATTTTAATTTAATTTGAATGTCTGACTTTGGAATGTTAATGCTGTAAACCAATAGATACTAAGGGCCTTCCCAGTTCAGCCTACAAGCCCTCGTTTCTTTGTACATTAATAGATTATGTAAAACCAATGTTTGAAATTCATCCCAGTTTCAGACTTTTAAATATTATATGAAAATTTTACTGCAACTGGATATGAATAACATCATACTGCTTACATTTTTTGACTCAAGCCAAACTGGTTGAAAATTGTTCTTGATTAGCTAAAAACAAATTTCAAGGAGCAGAGTCTAGAGAATTGTCTTGTTCGCACCTAAGGTTGCTGACAGAATTTTTTCAAACAAGAATGATTTCTGGTTCATCGCATCCACATGACAGAAAGGGTTCCTAATGCAGAGCTCTACATGTTTCAAAGACAGGGTTTGCGTGATTGATTGATCTGGAATGTTTGTATCTAACTCTATAACTTTGAAAAGAATAGAACTTGGGGTCCTAGATTGGCTGACAGTTCTTAAAAGTAAGCAGTTTGCTGTCAGAAAGCTCAACTGTCATATATCCTTGAATAAATGTAAAACAGCATTCTACTGTTGTAACTGGCGCTCACAATTTTTGATGAGCCCAGCTGACTTGTTGGAAGTGGCAAAACATAGTGTAGGCTTTTTGGGGGTGGACAGTACTTATCGCCCTATTGTAATATTTTGTTTAATAACCCAGTGTAATTGAAGAGCCCATTGTACTTTCTACAATTGAACAGTATGTAGCACAAGTGTGTCCTTTTGAGGCTGGCCAGTCTGGGCGAAAGTCCCACTCATTTGTATCATTCACGTATTCATTCCCTCTGGGCCAATGTATGCGGGCGCACGTATGCTGGGTACTGTCAAACATGGCACTGTCAAACTTGGCCTCTACTCCAAGTAACAGCTGTTTCACTACACACATATTTTCTCTTATTTTTGAGGGCGCTGATGACGAAAATAATATATTTTTTGACCCCAGACTCAGCTTTAAAGCCCGTCAGGGTTGAACATAGGAAAAATTTGCACATTTCTAAATGTAAGGGACAGGCCAAAGTTGCCAATCTGTATTGCTACTTTCCCTGTAATTCTCTTTCATGTAATCCTGTCTTATTTGTGGCAAGTCATGAAAATGTGTTGTGTTCATTCGCCTACCTGAGAGTCTCGTGTTCAAATTGATCCATGAAGCGAAAGAAGGGAATAACTCAATTTTCATCATTTTTCAGGAGAAACAAAACACACTTTGCAGGGCAAACTAAATCCATTCAGATGAATGATGCAATTGCGTTTTTGTCAAAAAAAATCATCAGTAGTAACTGTAAAAAATTTCAAAACTGTTACATTACTCTGTAGACGGTTTCTGTGATTTAAATTTTTACATCAGAATGAACTACGGAACCATGTTTACTTAGTTCTCCCAAACAATGGAGAATGTGGAGACAACTCAAGTGGAGCTGAGGTCTGTGTAGAGTCTGTACTGCTGCGGAACATTTTTTAAGCTACCTCTTTTGTCCATTCGTTGTTTTTATTCAATGGGGAGTTAAGTTTAGTTGACTCTTCTTACATTAAATTCATGAAAACCTGAGATGGGTTGATCCTTTTTACATTAGATTCATAAAGACACAAGTTGAGTTATCTTCTTCTGCTTTTTTGTGAAATGGAGTCATGTGGACTTCGGTTGAGTTGACTCAATTTTCCGATAAAATTTAGACCGCAAAAAGGGTCAAGTTGCCCTATTTTCTATGTGTATTTTCTCCTAAACTGCTGGGAATCGAGTCAAATAAATTGGTGTAAAGTTGCAAACTATCCTGAGGCACAGCAATAAGATGAAAGCTCAATTTGGAGAGGTCAAGTTATTCCCTCTTCAGCTTCATGGATCAAATTTGTGAAGGAATGTTTCATGCTCCCACTACTCAAATGAGACCATGATCAAGAAAAAGGTTCAAAAATGTGATGAGGAAAATAGAATAAAGTTGAGACCAATTCATTACGTTTCACCATATAAATAGTGACCTTCTCGCTATCTAATTTTTCCTGATCCCTTTCCTTTTAGTTTAAGTTTTTGAGTTACTAAATGATGTATGCCTTCTGATGTTGATTTCTAATCCTGTTATAACTAATATTTTTTAGAGTTATCAAAGATAGCATGATCGCAAGTCAATTACCTTCAGACATTCGGAAAAAAGTGGGTTCATTCTACTAATAGGGCATTTCATATGTCGTCGACCATGCTATTCAGAATTGTCAACAAGGTGGGAAGGATCAGGTTGGAACTGGGCAATCATTTCAGCAACATCTTGAAATTATTTAATAGCATGCTGCTGAACATGAGTCATATAATGCAAAACAAGAGATATTCATAGCAATTATTCTGGGCGGAACTTACACAATGCGAGCTAAGCAACTGGAGGACAACTTAATCCAAACTAAGTACAAGAATATAAATGCTAACGAGAACTCAGTGCAAACAACCTGAGTGCTGTGGATAAGCTCCCAGGTTTCTATACAAAATTAAGACTCAGTAATAATAGAAACAGTAAACTTGAAAAGCTAAGAAAGTTCTTTGGTAATGGTAACATATCAGTCAGTATTTTGGAACGATGAGGGATTCAGTTGTCTGAATAAAATTTAACGTTATGACTGAATGACAAACAGTGCAATCATAACTTGTTAACATTGCTTTTACTGTTGCCCTTTGAAGGAACTACAATGAGCATGATGGAATTATGAATCATTCAATAGAACCAAAAATGTGAAACCATCTGCTGACTCAAGGACACTTTCCTGGCACATCAAATAAAACAAAAACAAAGCAACGAACTTGAATCCTGTGACCAAAACTGACTATTCTGAGTCAGAGTTGTCAGATTCTGATTGTTCTGACTCTGAATCATTAATTGGCCTTCTTACCTTTAGACCTTGCATCACAGCTGCATGAATAGCGTATGACGACATATGTAAGAAGTGTGCCAGTGTTATTTGATTAGTTACAAGAAGATTGGTTGCTCGCTGGACTACTGCTTCGTTGTGCACAGTCTTCCATTTCCGTAATCCAGTGACCTGACGTCCAGCATCAACTGCTACTTTGTCACACCAAGACAAATGTTCCAGTTTCACAAAACCTCCTGAAAATACGGAAAACTCCGGATAAGTTTAATGACAATGGAAAAGTGCCACAGATGATTTTAGCATTAAAAAAAAATTATCAAATTCAGGCAGTATTATTATTAACACAAGGCAAATGTTATGGTAGGTTACTCAAAACAAACATCTTTTAAAAATATTCATAGGGTTAATGTATATTGACTTACCAATGAGATGAAAGCAGTTAGGTCTGTTCTGGGGCAAGACTTTTGCCAACATATGGTTGTCTGATTCTGAGGAGTTGTTTGTTCTCTCGGGCGCATTGAATACAGAGAGCTCATCCACTCGAGGTTTCCACTCCTTTTCAAAGTATTCAAAAAGTGGCCGGAAGTTGTTGCTCCATGGTGTCTGTTGCACCTCGTCCCAAATTTCCAGCACTCCCAACCAAATCATGTGACTTGGAAGCATAGGAACACCACACAGACACCTAATGAGATCAAACACTAACTCATTTTCTAGAGCAAGGTCTCTCATGCCTAAAGAATGTGCAAAGCAACTGCAAGCCTATGAATTAAACGTAGGTAAAATTAATGCTTATGCCATTGTGAAGGAAAACACGCAAATGAAAGTAAATTTTTAACTCACAACAGCATAATGCCAAAGGCAACCAACAACCCTTGACCTCGGGAACATAGCCCTCCAAGCATTCATTTCGGCTCTTTCAAAGTCACAGTGGATTCGCACAGGATTCATGTTGGGAGCAAGTGTCCTTATTTGTTCAATAACTGCGATGTATGCCTGAGTAGTCCTTGTGAGCATCAGTACTCTTGCAATAGCAATTATCTGTAAATTAAAGGACTTAGTATCAGTGATTCAAGATAAAACAACATTACGCTCATGAAAATGCACTTACATTTTCTCCATATTTAGTAACTATGTTGAAAATCTGAGCCATTGCAGGCTTCTTAGATCTCTTACGAAATGTCCCATCACTGTGCAGATTATCTCTTGATTGTAAGAACTGAAGCATTCGCCCAGATGCGAATATCAATGCAATAGTTTTATCCCCTGCTGAACCAACAACTCCTTGGAAGATGTAATCTGCTCCATCAACTGTCTTGCACAAGGGCCGCATGTCGGGCAAGCCCAACAAAATACCCAGGTAAATAAGTGATGACGGTATCCTTGGATAGTTTGAACTTCTGGCGCGGTAGAGCTGTGACTTCATTCTTACAGTTGTAAAGCGAGATGCCAATTGGACATCTGGGCACCTTATTGAAAAGAGGATAATTAAGTTAGGGGCTACCACAATGGCCTCATACTTAAGCCATGTCATAGTAAGCATCTCATTGTTAGTGAGATAAGGGCCTGTAGCACAGGTTTGAGTGTTCTGAGCCATCCTCAGATTAAAATTAATGAAGAAAATTACGGCTCAAAACACTCAAACCTGTGCTACAGGCCCATAACTCACTAACTATGAGATGCTAACTATGATATGGCTTAAGTATGAGACCATTGTGGTAGCACAGGTAAAAAAAGCGGCGTAACACAACAGTGCTTACTAACCTCACTTTAAAATCATTCAAAATGGACTGCACTTTAATCCCATGAACGTTTGTCTTAGCCTCATGCAGCATTGCTCTTCGCAATGCAGAGTCGTCGGTAAAAAGACGATCTGGTGCATGATTATGGGGTTGAAGGTGATGCAGCCATCCAGTTTCTAATGACAGAGACGCCGTCCCTGGACAGCCCTTCTTAAAGTGTCGACATTGGAGTCGAGCACGACTGCGACGTACTTCTCTTCTGTTATAGTAAAACCCATCCCCACAATGAATTATAAGCGAATTTGATGTACGTCCTTCCAATGTTTCCGCAGGTCCTCCAGCTGCATTCATTACTACAGATAATACTTTAAATACTAAAGATCAAACTCCCTGGCCTATTAGACCTACACTAATTCCTCCTTTCTTCTTCTTGTTCTTCTTCTTCTTCTTGTTCTTCTTCTTCTTCTTCTTCTTCTTCTTCTTCTTCTTCTTCTTCTTCTAAAAGAAAAGTGTATGCAGTTTGTGTAAAAGATGTTAAGACTTTGACAAAAAGAATCAATTTTTTTCAGTTAACGCGGTTTCTTTGAACTTTTTTTTGGTTTCTTAATTGGCCTTGTCTATGCTATGTGGCCGCTTTGTCTGGTCAAAATGGTGACCGAAAAGTGACCGAATGGATGCTTCCTTCCACTTCCTTCCTGAATGAACCCAAATCTTCAATCACCGAACCTACCCTACCACTGCCTACCACCGGTCGGCCCAGCTAAATCTTGCAGCTCATGAAGTGTTTCAGCGACATTAAAGGTAAGTAATCCGTTTACATCCGCATGATAACGTTTCCAAGTGACATGATGATGTTGCCTTTCTTCATTTCTGATCTTGTACTGCCGCAATCAGTTATACCGCGCGTCCTATCCATCCACTTCTAGACGCCCCCTTTTCGCCCACTTTTCATGCTGATCACTTGCTCAGTTTCGCAGTTTTCTTGGTGCTCATGTTGATCTAAGTGATTTTAATGCGAAAAATCTCAATATTTTAATGTGACGTCAATGCGCAATTAACCGATCGCGTGCACGCCGGGCGGCGAGGTTAAGGGATTGACGTGTCTCAACGTGCTCAACGTCCTCCCCACGGGCGGCCTTCTTCGGTCTTAAGTACGTAATCGTTACCTCTTAAATTGTGTTTATTGTTCCAGATGAGTGTCCCATTAGAAGAACTGAGAGCGAGGCGCCTCGCTCACATAGAGGAACGTGAGCGTCGTGAGCGTGAGGAACGTGAGGAACATGAGAGGAGGGAGGATGAACTATGTGATGCCTTCCAAAATGAAGCTTTGATTGAAGATTCCAGTTGTGCACCAGACGGATTGCAGCAAAGCCCTGATGGTTTGGAGCAGCAGCTTGGACCTGGAGTGCCTGCTGCAGTGCCTGCTGCAGTGCATACTGAGTCTACTGGTGGTTTAGAGCTGGTGCCAGTAGTGCGCAAGGCTGGCAATCAGTTTGACATGGGCCACGCTATCAGCTCACTCTTGTCCCAAGTTGGACAGCCCTCCAATGGTAAGCACAGGTTGACTTATGCATTGTCATTGGACTGTTGTAACAAAATTGAATTCTTATGTTCTATGTGTTTAATTGTTCTTGACTTGCAGGTAGGAATAGTGAGCCAACAATTATTATTTGCTTCAATAACCAACCTGGTGTGGTTCAACATCCTGGCATGATGCGAAGCGAGGCAACAAGACTGACACGGAGTCCCAGTCCTGATGTAGTAATTGTGGAGCCGCCTCAAGATTCTAGAAGTGGTTCTTCAGCTGCAATGTCTGCTCCACCTAATCAACCCGACTCATGGGAACCAACTCCAAGGTTCAGGAGTCCCAGTCCTGATCTCTCAGTTGGTAGGGCAAGGAGCCCAAGTCCCTATTCGGAAAGGAGGAGTGCCACACCTGATTGTGTTGTTAGCAGGAGAAGAAGCCCAAGTCCAGATCTCTTCGTTCCTAGGAGGAGACTGAGAAGTCCAAGTCCAGCTGCTACAAGGACAAGAGAAAGTGCATCTGCAACCAGTAGCTCTAGAGGCCATTCTTCCAGACTGCCAAGGGAGCCGAGTCCTGAACAAGACTTCTTCAGAAGGCCTACTAGAGGCCAAAGTCTTGCTTCTGCATGGAGCAGAGAAGATGCATCTGCTGCTACGGGCAGTGGAGCTGGTCCTCGATCAAGGCTGTCGCTGTCATTAGATCGCAGTCCTGGTTGCACATTTCCAAATAGTAGAGGAGAGACGAGCACTAGCTATGAGAGTTCAGCTCTGACTACAAATTCGAGGACCAGCCATGATTTCTCCTTTTTGAGGCCCACTGCATTCAATAGCACTACTTCTTCCTCTGATGGTCAAACAGAACGCAGTCTCAGCCCACACTTTCAACAGCCGTCCACTTCACAAGCTTCCACTGAAATACAAATTGTGGCCTGCACAAAGGGTTTCTCTGACGATGGTGCTTCATCCAGCTTGGCAGACATTGTAACTACTGAGCCTGGCCTCAATCCATCCCCACCAACACAACAAGTACCAGCTCAAAGTAGGTTACTTTTGTACTAAGTCATGATATGACCAAATGGTGGGTGAAGGGCAAGTTGGCCATAAAGTATTGTTGTTTATTTTTCAGAGGGGATACGGCTGGAGTGTTCTATTTGCCTTGGTGTGGTTGTGGGAGTGTTTACAAGCACTCCATGCGGTCATGTTTTTCATCTGATTTGCATCAAGAAATGGTTCAAGTCTAACGGAAGTGCTGGAAGTATTTTTCGGTGCTGCCCTTTGTGCAAGAAGAAGTTTACTCCGTCCGCTTTAGGAAACTTGAAATTGTAGTGAAGCAAGTAGTAATTCTCAACCCCATCTATTTGATTTTTATTGTACACCTGTTTTTATCCTGTTTCAATTAATGTATACACCTTTACAGCATATTTCTTCTTAGCTTCTTACTCTTAAGTTGTTAGTACAGAGCATTTTACTTTCTTGACTGTTGATTCTCCTTATTTGCGAAGTCAAAACTTATTTAATGATCATGTTGATTTACCGTACATTACCTGTTGCACTATGAGTCAACTGGTTTGTTAATTACAATGATTTTCTTGTTGCACTTTCACACTTGCATTGTAACTGTCTTCATAGCTATTATGTACGTCCTGTTCAGCACAATTTCTTTTAATTAAGCTTGTATTGCATCACTTGAACAATCATTGCTGCAGCTTACTAATATATCACTTTGAGATTCATTTCTAATCATTGCCTAATTCAACCTGATATTTCCCACCATTATGCCTTTGCCTGTGGGCCAATGTTATTCCTAAATGAACTTTGACAGCAAACATTCTTTTTCATTGTGCATGTGTAGGGGTAATTTGGGAAAAAAAAGAACAGGGTAAGAAAAATACACCCGCTTATGGCCTACTGCAGACATCTCGGCATGTGTTGGGCAGGAAATTCACACTTACATTTACATTTTTAGTTGAAATGACTGGTCGAGGGTGTGCTCAAAGTCAAGACATGAGCTCCATAAGGGTGTACTTTTCTGTACTTTTCTTTTCTTCACCAACATACCCCTACGGGTCGAATCATTGGACATACTCTCAGACCAAGTTGCAGACTAAATGTGACTACAGGAAGTGTCAATGGGTGGGAGGAAAGGCACGTCACAATCAATTTTCGGTCCTTTTATGAAATGAAACTACTTGCCAATGAATTTGGAGTAAGGATCAGTTTAAAAGTGACTAGCGTACGTGCGCCCGTATACATTAGCCCAGAGGGAATATCTTAGTGACTTTCGCCCAGACTATCCAGCATCAACAGGGCTTCTGTGCTACAAAGGATGCCTAGGACCAGCTTCTTACGATTACTAACAGGGAAAAATCTTATGACATTTTATGTAGAAAACAAAACGTGAGCATTTAGATCTACACCTTTATGTGATGGCCTATTGTAGCAACCTCTAAGAAAATTTCGAAAAGTAATACTAGTCACTTATGTAATGCATATGTTTTCTCGAGCACTCTCATAGGATGCTCTCAAGCTGCTGCAGTAAGACGCCATACATAAGTGTGAAAAGGGGTGTGGCATAATTACAACTCCACATCTTTGGCAAGAATGGAGCGATGCATGAATGACAGAATGACATAGGTATTACAAAGACGCAGAGTTAAAATCTGCTAGCAATCATTGGATACAATTGAAGGGGAGGTTCTGGTGGCAGTTACTTTCTTCAAAGTAGGTGTCGTTATGAAAATTTGTTAACAATTTGTCTAGGCAAGTACAGATTAAAATGTCACATTGAAAGCCCTGAACCCAGTCGAAGAGCCTCTTTTGCCTGTTTTGGCTTCATTCAAAAATCTTATTGAACGTCGTATGTTGTTGAAAGAGATTTTTCACTTTAAATCACTCTTAAAAGATTCCAGAATGAACAATTCAAAATGTCAATATAAACTTTGGCAAGCTTTTAGTGCAAGCATTCCACCATAATTATTCAAAAATGTACAAAGTAGGCAAGTTTTAGTGACTTCAGCTTCTAACGCTTATCTCTAGTTATGTAATGGTCGTTCTGAGTTATGTATGCTAAAATCTTTTAACAGTGAGTCAAAGAAGTAACACATGTGTAGGCCAACCCTTTACGACAAAATACTATGCCCAAGAAAATTTTTTAAGATACAGTCACTATAGGCTTTGAAAGGCTCTTCGATTGGCGTTTGGGCCTAGCAAGTGCTCTCAAGACTCCAATTTTAGTGTCATCTAAGTGAGATTGACAACAGCCTGGACCGAAGGGCTTAAAGTCTCACGTTTCTATTCACAACAGCGCACGTCCAGTATTTGTTGAGAGTTCCATCATGGTTCTTGCAACGTTCATAGCAACTTTCTTCATTGATGTGCTATAAAGCATAATTGCTTTCAGCAATTCTCGTTTTGTAACACTTGCTATGTTTGCATTGTACCAGCATACTAATAAATTACATGCTGATTCGGTTTTCATCATTGTTTAATTCCAACAAGACACGTCCCAACTCATGACAGTGCTTGCTAGATGATATTATTCATGGATTTACCCTTAAACCACACATTTGTTGCTATCATCCAGGAGGTTCACAAGTCATTCATTTACCAAATTCTTTCAAACCCCATCTGACTTAAGTGAAACAGAAGGGGCGAAGGAAAATACACGACACCGAGACTGGCAGTAGCAAGACCACAACCTCGGCCATGTATTGTGAAGTCACTTCTACAGTATTGCAGAGCATTCAATGAGCAATTAGGTCAGGATCACTTACACTTGAATAAAAAGTAGGGAATTTGATGGAGGGTTAGGGCTTAAGTACGAAAGTGTATAGAAGAAAAAACTCTGTCGAGATGGATTTTAATCTGTGCATTGTTTTACTATAAATTGCATAATACTGTTTTGAGAGGGTGACACCTTCGCCTTAGTGTCAAAAAATATTAATATAATAAGAATCTACATAAAAACTTTAGACACGAACAGTTCTTTGAAGGGATTTGTTTTCGCACCGTGAAAGAAAGCAGAGGAACTAGCAGACGACTAGCGTTGCACGTCCTACCCAGCAGAGAACGCACCGACGGGACATGAAACGGGAACAAAGTAAATGAACACATATGAAAAGAAAATAAAAAGGAGCACAATCAATGAAATGAAAAGAAACGTTGGGTCATAAATTCATAATCTATGATAAAATCCAGCGGGCAGTGCTGGTCGGTCTAGGATGACGATCAGACTGTATACTTCCGGTCACGTCCCGTCTCGAAACATCGGTTCTGTACCGGCTACCGGCCATACATTTCCGGTATAGCATTCCTTCGTTCAGCACAGACCTACAAGTTTGTTCCATTTGAGTCCTTGAGCAGATAAAGTGTTTCGGCGACATAAAAGGTAAGTAATCCGTTTACATCCGCATGATAGCGTTTCCAAGTGACATGATGATGTTGCCTTTCTTCATTTCTGATCTTGTACTGCCGCAATCAGTTATACCGCGCGTCCTATCCATCCACTTCTAGACGCCCCCTTTTCGCCCACTTTTCATGCTGATCACTTGCTCAGTTTCGCAGTTTTCTTGGTGCTCATGTTGATCTAAGTGATTTTAATGCGAAAAATCTCAATATTTTAATGTGACGTCAATGCGCAATTAACCGATCGCGTGCACGCCGGGCGGCGAGGTTAAGGGATTGACGTGTCTCAACGTGCTCAACGTCCTCCCCACGGGCGGCCTTCTTCGGTCTTAAGTACGTAATCGTTACCTCTTAAATTGTGTTTATTGTTCCAGATGAGTGTCCCATTAGAAGAACTGAGAGCGAGGCGCCTCGCTGACATAGAGGAACGTGAGAAGAGGGAGCGGGAGGAACGACGTGAGCGACGTGAGCGTGAGCAGCGTGAGCATCGTGAGCGTCAGGAACGAGAGGAACGTGAGCGTCGTGAGCGTGAGGAGCGTGAGGAACATGAGAAGAGGGGGGATGAACTATGTGATGCCTTCCAAAATGAAGCTTTGAATGAAGATTCCAGTTGTGCACCAGACGGATTGCAGCAAAGCCCTGATGGTTTGGAGCAGCAGCTTGGACCTGGAGTGCCTGCTGCAGTGCCTGCTGCAGTGCCTGCTGCAGTGCCTACTGCAGTGCCTACTGCAGTGCCTGCTGCAGTGCCTGCTGCAGTGCATACTGAGTCTACTGGTGGTTTGGAGCTGGTGCCAGTAGTGCGCAGGGCTGGCACTCAGTTTGACATGGGCCACGCTATCAGCTCACTCTTGTCCCAAGTTGGACAGCCCTCCAATGGTAAGCACAGGTTGACTTATGCATTGTCATTGGACTGTTGTAACAAAATTGAATTCTTATATTCTATGTGTTTTATTGTTCTTGACTTGCAGGTAGGAATAGTGCGCCAACAATTATTATTTGCTTCAATAACCAACCTGGTGTGGTTCAACATCCTGGCATGATGCGAAGCGAGGCAACAAGACTGACACGGAGTCCCAGTCCTGATGTAGTAATTGTGGAGCCGCCTCAAGATTCTAGAAGTGGTTCTTCAGCTGCAATGTCTGCTCCACCTAATCAACCCGACTCATGGGAACCAACTCCAAGGTTCAGGAGTCCCAGTCCTGATCTCTCAGTTGGTAGGGCAAGGAGCCCAAGTCCCTATTCGGAAAGGAGAAGTGCCACACCTGATTGCGTTGTAAGCAGGAGAAGAAGCCCAAGTCCAGATCTCTTCGTTCCTAGGAGAAGACTGAGAAGTCCAAGTCCAGCTGCTACAAGGACAAGAGAAAGTGCATCTGCAGCTGCAACCAGTAGCTCCAGAAGCCATTCTTCCGGAATGCCATGGGATCGTAGTCCTGACCGAGACTCTTCTAGGAGGAGGGGGAGAAGTCCAAGTCCAGCGGCTACAAGGTCTGGAGAAAATTCATCTGCGGCTGCGACCAGTAGCTCCAGAGGCCATTCTTCCAGACTGCCATGGGATCTTAGTCCTGACCGAGACTCTTCTAGGAGGAGGGGGAGAAGTCCAAGTCCAGCGGCTACAAGGTCTGGAGAAAATTCATCTGCGGCTGCGACCAGCTCCAGAGGCCATTCTTCCAGACTGCCATGGGATCTTAGTCCTGACCGGGACTCTTCTAGGAGGAGGGGGAGAAGTCCAAGTCCAGCGGCTACAAGGTCTGGAGAAAATTCATCTGCGGCTGCAACCAGTAGCTCCAGAGGCCATTCTTCCAGACTGCCTTGGGATCTTAGTCCTGACCGAGACTCTTCAAGGAGGAGGGGGAGAAGTCCAAGTCCAGCAGCTACCAGGTCTGGAGAAAATTCCTCTGCAGCTGCGACCAGTAGCTCCAGCGGCCATTCTTCCAGACTGCCTTGGGATCTTGGTCCTGACCGAGACTCTTCATGGAGGAGGGGGAGAAGTCGAAGTCCAGCTGCTACAAGGACTAGAGACAGTTCATCTGCAGCTGTCTCCACCAGTGGTAGTGGCCATCAATCTAGGCAGTCATTAGATCGCAGTCCTGATCCCACATCTTCAAGTCCTCAGAGAACAAATTCAAGGACCAGCCATGATTTCTCCTTCTTGAGGCCCTCTGCATCACAGAGGGCCTCTGCTTCTGTCTCTGTATCTGGACGGAGCCTGAGTCCAGACTTCAGACAGCCGTCCACGTCTGGATCCTCTAGCACAACAAAGCCCCCACCAAAGAAAAGGGGCCGGCCGAGGAAAAACGCAGCAAAAGGTAGGAATGTGTTCTTATAATTCATTGGAGTCCTTCATTGCATTTGAACTAAGTGTCTGTTTAATATTTTCCAGGGAAAGACCAGGCGATCTGCTCGGCATGTGATGGACAGAAAGATGGAGCATACGCAACAGTTCCATGTGGGCATGTTTTCCACAAAGACTGCCTTATTGGTTGGGGTAACTCTCCTCTGCAGATATCAAAAGCTTACAAGAATTGTCCAAACTGCAAGGCACTATATGATCCAGAAGAACAAGTGAAGCCCCTGTTCCTCTGAATTACTGTACCATCACACTTTGCTCTGTTTGTATTTCCTTCAATGTTTATGTTTTTACTTCACATGCTAGCCAACACTACTCGCTAATCTTTAAAGTATTGTTTTTGGAATAATTACTGTTTGTTAAAATGGGCTATTCTGTTGAGTGCCTGACATGCAAATCTTAGACTGTTTCTTCATAGCTAATTAAGTGCGCAGCTGTTGGATGTGCAGTTTATTCTTCTGCTCTGATTTTTCTAGTTTCTTTTTAGCCTATATTTTGTTAACGAGTACATAGTTGTTTTCTTTGACTACATCATAATCTGTTGATAATGCTCTTTTTGATCTAGCGACTTGCATTGTAAGTCTTTATTGACGTGATCCATGAGCTGACTACGACTAGTTATTTTAAGGGACATTATGCCGAGGACTTGACGCAATCTAAGGTTTTCTCCGGATAGCTGATCAAGTGCTCAGCTGTTGGATGTAGGCTTTCATTCAACTTAGATTTTCCTGTTTTAGCTACTATTGTGATCATGACTAGTTATCATTACATTTTGATTACTTTAGAATTGTTTCATAATTCTCTTTTTCTTGCAACTTGCATTGTAACTCTGATTTTCCTGATCCATGTGTTGGTTACGATTCTTTGTTGTAAAGGCTATTCTGACGAGGACCTGACATGCAACGTTAGGCTTTTTCTTGATTAAGTGCTCAGCTGTTATATGTGAACTTTTTTTTATTCTACTTACATTTTCCAGTTTCTTTTAGCCTATATTTTGTTCATGACTATCTAGCTAACTAGCTTTACATTTTGATTACCTCAGAATTGTTTCATAATCCTCTTGTTGTTCTTGCGACTTGCATTATAACTCTGATTTTCCTGATCCATGTGCTGGTTACGATTCTTTGTTGTAAAGGATATACTGACGAGGACCTGACATACAATGCGAGGTTTTTTGTGGATTAAGTGCTGAGCTGTTGGATGTGGCCTTTTTTTATTTTACTTACATTTTCCAGTTTCTTTTAGCCTATATTTTGTTCATGACTAGTTATCTTTACATTTTGATTACCTCAGAATTGTTTCATAATTCTCTTGTTGTTCTTGCGACTTGCATTATAACTCTGATTTTCCTGATCCATGTGCTGGTTACGATTCTTTGTTGTAAAGGATATTCTGACGAGGACCTGACATACAATGCGAGGTTTTTTGTGGATTAAGTGCTGAGCTGTTGGATGTGGCCTTTTTTTATTTTACTTACATTTTCCAGTTTCTTTTAGCCTATATTTTGTTCATGACTAGTTATCTTTACATTTTGATTACCTCAGAATTGTTTCATAATTCTCTTGTTGTTCTTGCGACTTGCATTATAACTCTGATTTTCCTGAACCATGTGCTGGTTACGATTCTTTGTTGTAAAGGATATTCTGACGAGGACCTGACATACAATGCGAGGTTTTTTGTGGATTAAGTGCTGAGCTGTTGGATGTGGCCTTTTTTTATTTTACTTACATTTTCCAGTTTCTTTTAGCCTATATTTTGTTCATGACTAGTTATCTTTACATTTTGATTACCTCAGAATTGTTTCATAATTCTCTTGTTGTTCTTGCGACTTGCATTATAACTCTGATTTTCCTGATCCATGTGCTGCTCACGATTCTTTGTTGTAAAGGACATTCTGACGAGAACCTGACATACAATGTGAGGTTTTTTGTGGATTAAGTGGTGAGCTGTTGGATGTGGCCTTTTTTTATTCTGCTTAGATTTTCCAGTTTCTTTTTAGCGTATATTTTGTTCATGACTAGTTATCTTTACATTTTGATTACATCAGAGCTATTTGATGATTCCCTTATTGTACTTGCAAGTTGTATGTTAAGTTTGGGTTGAGTTCTTGTAAATTTTTTTATTATTTTATTTAGTTTGAATTAAGTTGTCCTGCAGATGTTGAGCTTTAGGTGTGCAAGTTCTGCCAAGAATATTTGCTTTGAATGTCTCGTTTAGTATTGTGTGACTTATATTCAGCAGCATGCTATTAAATAATTTCAAGATGCAGCTTAAATTATTGCTCTGTTCTAATCTTGACCCTTCCCACCTCGATAAGCGTACCGAATAGCATGAAAGACATATGCGATGCACTTATATGGTGCATGATCTGAATGAAACCACTGTTTTGGAATGTCTGAAAATTGTTGACTTGCAATTATGCCAGGATAAGAAATGAACATCAGAGGGCAGAAATTATTTAGTAACTCTAAAACTTGAAGCATAGTGAAAGGGAACATAAAGAAAATTTGGTCAACAAAAAAAGATCAGTTTGTATTTAAAGAAATGTACAAGAAGAGACTGGACAACAAAATTAACGATCAATCACACAGAATGAGTGGGTCTCAAAGGTATTCTATTTTCTCAAGCTGTTATGATCTGGGCTCCTTTTGAGAGGTGGGAGCATGAAATATTCCTTCACATATTTGAACTTGAGACTCTCAGGTAGGTGAATGAACACAACGCATATTCAGGAACTGGTTCAGATCAGCCTACCCTAAACTGAGTCTCTTAATATTAACTATGAAATGGAATCATTTAAAGAAACAGCAGTTACTAACAAATTGAAATCAAGGGCCAAGTGTGACAGTACCCAGCATACGTGCGCCCGCATACATTGGCCCAGAGGACGTGCGCCCGCATACATTGGCCCAGAGGACGTGCGCCCGCATACATTGGCCCAGAGGGAATGCCTTCGTGATACAGATGTCCACAATGCTGTCTTCAAAGATGAGTACCCAGCATACGTGCGCCCGCATACATTGGCCCAGAGGACGTGCGCCCGCATACATTGGCCCAGAGGGAATGCCTTCGTGATACAGATGTCCACAATGCTGTCTTCAAAGATGATAACAAAGCTGCAATGAAGAGAGAAACGAAATTAGATGAACCAGCATGAACTTGTGGGAGATGGAGACTGGAGCTATTGGCATCCATTCAGCAACAGGAATGACAAAAAATGGAGACAACACAGAAAAACAAATAAGGTGAAGAGAATATTGAAAACTGACTGGGCAACTTTGGAAAAAAGACAAATAAGGCTACTTACTTAAAAATGCACATACCAAATAGTCTAGGTATTTCAAATGAACTTTTAATAGGAATAAAAAAAGGTGAGAAGCCTTGACCATTACTTTGAGACTCACCTCTCCATGCTCGGACTGCCCAGCAAGTTGTCAGAAGAGGATCGTGAAAGACTGCCAAACTTTACTAGACGAAACGGCACACTCAATCCATGCTACAAGTCTGAAACAAAAAAAAAGAACAAAAAAAAAACAAGACACTTTAGGAGAGAGGAACAACGAAAGGGGCAAGTGGACTCTAGGACTATAAGGGTACAGCCTCGGCTGTTGCAACCACACAAAAAAATCTTTCCTCCCTAAAAACCCAATTCTAAGATGAGCAATTTGCAGGAAAATTAAGATATGATCATGGCGGGAAATAAATTAAAGAAATGTCTCTACTTCAGCATTGAAAAGAAAATCCTTAGCAACGCAGGTATTTGAAGAACAATGCCAAAAATAAAAGTAGAAGATGGGAGATTAAGTTAATATTAACAAAACACTGCAATTGAATGGACAGGCAGCCAGGACCAAAGGGTTCAGAAACTTAGCTTTCAATGCAGAGACAGCAGAGAAAGCTAGCAGTTGCAGCAAAGCTCAAGGTCAGAATGGGCTCGTCAAAGATGCTTTTAGACCCCTTCTGGTGAAGCTGTAAAAATACAAGCTTATTATAACACAACGTAGCAGCAGCATATTTGACATGGAGAATGAAGCCAAGGTGTCGATGTTGATCAATATACATAAGTGACAGTCAGTAGAAAATGTGAAGCCAATGTGAACAGTGTCCAAAATAATTAAAAATAACGGCAAGCCTCTGTGAATGACAGAACATTCAACTGAAGAGTGTGCAATGCAATGGGCTCTAAAATTATAATGGGAAATTACAGGCTTTTGCTCAATGCATCTCTCCAGCAAAATTAAACCTGAAAAAACTCATAATTAAAGCAAGTTACTCCTGTTTTTTATTCAACAGAAAAATAATATGACAATGACAAACATTTAGTTACTTGCTACTGTCTGACTGCTTGTGACCAGCTTACATTCATTGCAAAATATGGGTTTATTAAGGATCCGAGTCAGTTGCAGTACAAGAAACCGCAGAGAAAAAAAGCAACAGGCAGATGCAATGTATTAAAAGACAATCTGAATCAAAATGCAGCCCTGAAGCAAAGGCTTTTAAGTCTTACAGGCAGGTTACCAAAGTACAAAACCAAAACAGAGGGTAACAGTTGAAACAAAGTCAAATATGTGAACAGAAAAGAAAACTGCAGCTAGCAATGCTAAGTAGCTGACTAAGTGACAATTTGAAAAGACCCACCAACACCAAAAAGATAAGTCAATACACTGTCGGGCAAAATTAAGGGGATGCTTTTTTTAAAATGCCCTCAGATGGAAATTTTCTTTAATCGATTTCGATGAAAACTTTATAAAGAGTGCCTGGCAGGTAGGCAGCCCATCGTTAACCACTCTTTGAAGAGTGTGTACATCATTTGAAGTAACTAATGCCCATGCTGCAAGCTTTGACCGATATTGTTGAATCATCAGTGTCTAATATATGTATCAAGTTTCCAGAACGGCCTTCTTTCTGAACAATGTGCACAATGGTTCTAAAATATCTTGTACAATATCAATGTCCCATGTCTTCCCTAACAGCTTCAATCTGCGAGTATAGGGAAGATTCACATCGGTAAAATGAGATGGAAACCCTAGACTCTTTTCTATTTCAGTCAGGTGCAGTTCAGAGGGTTCTCCATTTTGAAAGACTACAGCATCACAACCAGTTCCTAAATTTAAAAAAAAATTCCAAATTAAGACATGAAAGGGATTCATACCTTCAAGTAGCATCATATGATTTTGCATGAATCTAAATACATACCTTTCCTTTTGGTACTTGAAGAGGATGTGGTAATGGTTCCAAGTAAGTCAATGCCAGCAGTTCGCCCCGGATCAAGAAAGCTCTGCAAGGGCACAAAGTTAACTCGGATGTCCATATGCTTCTCTTTCATACCAGGCACATTCCCCCAAAAGTAACGCTCTCTTGTTGAGCTAGCCGGTATCATTTTGATAGGCGTGCAGCCAAGGAAGCTGGCAAAAAAAACACAAAGAAATGAGATGCTTGATGCTTAACATGCTATTTTACCATTGAAACAAGTTGACAATAACTCATGATCATCATTAGCTACCTATTCATATCTTGAAGTGTATCAGCATCTAAGTTTGTTACATTTTCAAACAACCAGAAAAACTCATAGCCTCCTTCCATTGCCGCAGCATTTAAGTAGTTCCTAATCCTTATAAATTCAAAAAACAATATTCCAGTTCCATCCGGGTCTAGTTAAGCATAAAAAAGCAATCAACATAACTAAAGAAAAGTGTACCAAGAAAAAACACAATTGCGATGAAAAAAATAAAATAACACACCATATAGTAGTTTGCGTAAAGGATTAACGCGGCTCACATCGTTGCACGGGCTCCCAGCAAGAAGGAGATTAACTGCACCAAATTTTTTTAGGTGGTAGGTAGACAAATTTCTTACATCACCCACTTTTGTTATTTCTTCAAAGAAGTGAAATGTTTGCACTTTAGTTGCATCTTCATCAATTTCCGAAGAAAAATAATTGCCTACATCTAGACCCAATCTATTCAAGAGTACAAAAAGCCCAGCTGACAGTCCATCAAATAGTGACAAACAATTAACTTTTGGCTTCTCCACATAATTGCATTGTGAGCAAAGAGCTTCAGCAAGAGCTCTCTGAAACATAACGAAAACCATTTCATTACAAAATGTTCTAGTCTCTTTTTCTTGAAGTAAGGCAGGGCACTTTGAAAAACAAACCATACTTCTTGGAGCGGCGTTGAAATAATAAGGTCACCTTCAGTGCTGCTACACTTTGGTCGGGAAGCATTACAACGCCATTTCTAGACCAAAAGTTGAATATTTACTTCAGCATTAAGAATGCAATGACAGTAACTAAAAAGCAATTCATGTCTTCTTTAAAATGAGCTAAGTTCTAATGATACTTGAGAGTTAATTGGGAGCTACATATTTGTTACATGAAACAATACAACCAAAAATTTTAAATGCGCGAGTAAGTCTGAGGTACAACAATGAGACAGTCACCTTGTTGGCTCCATAAGTCCTGCAACCCTTTTTTGGTGTTGAAAAGTATTGCCGGACAGGTTTGCGTTTTCGGCGCTTGTCAGCAGCCATTTCTTACAGAATGCTCTCTTCAAGAAAAGAAAAAACAGCCTCTGAAAAAAAAATACACAGTTACAGTTTCGGCACTCAAGTTTCAGTTATGTTCACAGATTTCGAAGAAGATGTGAATATTAATTTCTTCACAACAACACAAGTAATCTTGCCATCTAAAGCCACAAAAATGACTATAAACGTTTTATACGCAACAAAACTTCTGGTAGTTCAGAGATTCTTTTGCCTATTGCAAAATGTCAAAAGTAGAGCCTTACTCCGTGACAAATTTTATAATTTTGTTGTGTTAAAGATGATGGCTTGTTCACATTCACTTTGCCGCTGGCGCAACCACAACACTACACACCCACACCACCATGAATGAAAGGTCAAGAGCCGTGCGAATAACCACAACTGTGTAAGGTTAGGGTTACTTTGGCTTCTGCTAAGCTGATTTCGATCCCTTTGCGACAAAATGCATTCTTCTAAATCAAGAAAGAAAGAAAGTAACGCATCTGAAGAATAACACACAGCAACAGTTACCGGACTCAAGATTCAGTAATGTCAACGGATCTAGGAGAGGACGTGTAAAAAATAACTTTCTCAAAACGACAAGAGCTCTTTTGACATCTCCAGAGACAAAAATACCTGGAAAAGTTTCTAAGCAGAGCAATACCGGACCTCTGATAAGTTCTGTTATACTTCCGTGTACCGGACAGTGTCAAAATTTAAGCCTCACGACTTGATAAATGTTTTTCGTGTACAAGATGACATTTGGTTAACAAAGACCTGCAAATAACCAAGGGTAGGTAGGTGTGGTAACTTTGGCTTCTGCTTCAGCTGACAGGCTCAAGCCAATTTCAACTTTTGTGCAAATTATTGAATTAGCCGAGACCATCGTAAAAAGAACTGTTTGTTCTTTTTTCTTTAAGAAAACAAACAGAAAGATGATTGAATTAAGAGAAGTTTCAGAGGGGCAATTTGTGTGGGCAAAATTAAAAGGATACGACTGGTGGCCAGGTAAATACAATGCAACTTTCGCTACATTCAAAGTGTTTTTATTACAAGTGGAGAGTAGTGCAGTGGTGAATTAGACATGTATAGAGAGTTCAAGAAAAATTGAGTTGGTAATCTCTCTTTGCACTTCTTACGAGACTGGTATCATTTCCTGTTGGTTTGGTTAGGTCATTCATATGGGTGTGGGCAGACCTCTGAATATCGGTACCTGTATAAGAGATTGCCTATACGGCTCTTGGGAAAGGGTTGGACAAGGACTATATGAATTGTCTCACATTGTCTGACTCTTTTCAGGGATGGTTGTTCCAGCATCATTGTGCACACATTTTACCAATGAAAGCGATAGCCATTTATGTGTGTACTGGTACGGCCACAACTCAGTTTCAAAGGTAGATCTAATGAAACCATACATCCTCAAAATTTTGTGCTGTAATTAGATTTCCCTTTTTTTCTGTACTTTTTGGTTTTACTTGTCCAGGTTGACCAGTCTCTGAAAATGTGTGACTTTTTGAAAGGGTTCCCAAAATGCTTCACCAAAAATAAAACCAAGATGTTTAAGTTTGGCGTTTTTCGTGCAGGAAGAGTAAGCGCCTTTGAAATGCAGTTTCTATTTGTACTTTGATTGCACTGATACGTGAGTCTCCTGTTTGCTTCACCATGATTTATTGTCTTTTCTCTTTATTTTTGTGTATTTAGGACTTAATGCTGATGCATAAACACTCTGAAAATATCGATGTATGTGATAAGGAAGTATATGACTGGATACTGGCTACTGATCCTCGGGATGTGAAGACTGAAGGGTGGAGTATGTACAAGTTTGATTATTTCTCCATCTGAATGCAGGAGAATGACAAGCAGTATGTCACTAGCTCTTGTTTGATTACAGAACTGTCAGGATTTGTTCAAGAACAATTAAAGCTTCTTTCCATGAGGTTTTCAAGCAAGACTGATGTCCAAACCAGCACCACAGGAACTGAAAATGCATCAAACAATGTAAAGCCCAAACTGTGCTTTGATCTCAACTGCTGCCTGTCCTGTGAATCTTCTGATGCAGGAGCACATTTAGACCATCCAATATTTGAAAAAAAAAAGATCTGTTGTGTGTGTTTGGTAAGTAAAATCACACCTCAAAGCACTGCAATGTTTTTTCTCTGGCATTGGCATAAATGCTGCTGATTTATTTCATGCCATCTAAAGAAATGACTGAAGTTTTCACTTAAATATTCATGACTCACATAATGTGTGTATTCTAGGAAAAGTTGAAGAGAGCATACTTTGTGCATAGAGTGGATGACTCTTCTGGATCCATCAGCTGCCTGAGTAACGAGGCCTCTTTGGGTTTACCTTTAAGAAATGGATGGAGAGAGAATGTTAGTATTTAAATGTATGTGCAGTGTTCTGTCACACATTTTCAAATAAATCACTACAAACTCTTTAATTTCAGATGCTTGATATGTTTCACCAAAAGCAACACCCTAATTCACACATTTGTGTGTCTGAAAATCATGTCAGTATCTTCAGCTTTTCTGAATCTCAAAACGCTGGTAATGATACATTCAAGAAAAATTTAAACATCCCAGGTTTCCCTTTATTCCTCACTGTGATTGTCTTGAAACCATTTTGGCAGGAGCTGCACTGTGTTTACATCTCGAAGAAATGGCAGGCATAAGAAAATTTGAATTGTTCCTCTGCGATCAACCCTCAAGAGGAAGTGATACCAAGGATGTGATGGATGCACACAATTTTGGTCAAGCCGTGACTGAATGCACAATTACTTATCTGGGTAGAATAGAAGAATTGGAGCTGCTCTACCCTTTGGTGAAAATAGAATATTACGTTGCCTCAAGAAGTGGTAGGCAATATAAAAATTCCAGTACCTTCTTTACATTTCATAATTTTTTTCTGTGATTAATAGTTTTCTCGGTTCACAATGTTTACAATCTTACGTACCAATTTCATTACAGATAAAGGCAATGCTGACCTGGGTTCTTTCTTTTTTCATTTTTTTAAAACTATTAGTACAAAGAAAGGATGCAAGTGGATATTTCAGATGCCAGCTCCATATAACAAAGGCTATGTTAGACTTATAAGCAGGTGAGTGAAATGTCTGCTTTACATTATATTTCTTTACTTAACCAGCAGGATCTTTCAGTGCATGCAAATTAGAAATGTGGAGTGTTTTAACTTGATCTTGTCTGTCATTTCCAGGTTTCTAGAGTGTGAGCCTGGCTTGTGGCGAAACACGTTCTCTACAGAGAACTTCACCTGGACAAATGAGCGGTCTTTGTTAAGGGTATTGGAAGAACCTGAAGTACTCTAAAAATACAGAGATCCAATACCACATTAGAAAAACAAAAGTATGAAACATTGTCGGTATCTTTTGAAAGGAGCACCATGATTGCACGTGAATTCTTATTTAGATTGCCCTTGCATAATTTTCAAGTGTTTTGGGATGGGTAAAATTCAAAATTGGGATTTTCAAAGATCATGATTGATTCATCAATTTGTTGAAACAATCGAACAAACTGAAACAAGAGTTTTTTTTCCTTATCTTTATTGATGTTACTTCAATGTAAATAATCAACATTATTTATGGGTCATAAAGCTCAGCTGTCAGCTGGTTACAATGATGTCATTCATGAAAGGCCCATTCAGTGATCTCAAGTAGGACAGTGGCTAACTTATAATTCTGAAATAACAGACGTAGTTTTTAAGACATCTTTTAAAAGCTTAAATTATTTTGCAAACTGAAATTCATGCATTAATTCTGTTGTCAGTACGATATTATTGTTCCTTTACTGTAAGAAGATCTTTTACCACTTCATCATTTCCATAACATAAGACATAATAAAATATCATATTGATAATTTTCTATTTACATGCTGTTTCAATTGGATCATGTCTGACTTGACTTTCCCATATCAAAAGTAAAGGAAGCTTGTGAGAAGAATGTTGATAAGTAAAAGACAAGTCTTCAAAAGGTTCCTGTGACTTGCCAACACACCTCTGTACTACCTCTACCAAACACATAGCATAATACTAAACTTGCTAGCATTCATTGTACTTTTCTTGAAGTGCAGCTCGAGTAACTGGAGACTAACGTACGTAGCAGTCTTCGTAGTTCTCCACGTTAAAAAGTGAGTCCAATAACCCTTCAATGATGCTCCAATCACTCCAAGTTCACCTGCAGTAAACAAACGACAAACAGTAGACATAAATATATGAGCTCTATTTAACAAAAAAAAAACATACTCTACAAAAGTAATGACAACACTGCACAAAACAAACAGGAGTAGAAAGTAATGAAAAGCTGCAAAAGGCACTTTGACCCTTTTTACCCAACACCATTTAACAGGATTCTGTTCCACAAGTAAGAGAAGGGTTTGAAACAAAGAAGAACCTTTTCAACTAATATGTAAACAACCGCGATTGAAGAGTTTGGTAGAAACAGTAATCTTCCAACACAGTTAAAACAATAATTCACAGGGCAAAAGAAAACAGCAAAAATATTGCCAAAATGTTCAGTGATACTAAGACATGAGAATGAGTGTGCTACAGTAAGATAAGATATCTCACTTTGTTATTGCAATGCATCCAGACGAAAGCAGCTGATCCACAATAATTCTAGTGACTGAAGTGGGGCCCGGTGGCGGCTGGTGGAATCTTGTTGTGACTTAGTACCTGGTGGAGCAGCAAGAGGTGGAAGGTCAAAATTGTGTTTGGAAGTAATATCCTGGAACAGTAACAAATGATAAAAGAAAAAAAGGATAAGAAAAATTAAAGTTTCTCCAGTTTTATTGTTCCAATTGGCCAATTGGAAAAAAAAATTTTCTGTTTGCTTCACGTAACAAGTTCTCCTCAAATTGATCAAAATAAGCAGGTTGCTCACATAAGCAAACACTATTCAAGATTTTAGATGAGATTGAAAGAATGAAAACACAGTAACAGTATGAATTGAAAAGACCACAAACCAGAAGATCAAACAACACTTTCAAGACACTAAGCTGCTTACAAAATTTCATCAGAAACAGTAAATAGTACAACTTGGAAGTCAAATTTCTGTGGATTGACACAAAAGACGAAACAAGTATTTCAGGTTGAAAAAGACAAAATCGAGACAATTGACGTGTCAGGAGCAAGAAAGAAGCCAATACCAGAGACGCTTGCAAACAGGGATCATTTAGAAGGAACATGACCTCAGTGCAAGTATGCAGTTACTATGGAGAAGTATTCAGTCTCAAAATGTGAAATATGATTCCCTGAGTTAATAGTGTTCAATACATAATAGATAAAATTCGGATGTGAAACATACAAATTTCTCCCTATCACCATTCAACAAGAATCTGGTATCGCCCTGGACTTGAAATGAAGCAGACAAATAGAGCGCAAGCCTGGAAGATTAGAGGCTCTCATATGAGAAAACAAGAAGGAGAGGCTTCTTTTGAAAGTGATTCATTATAAAGAGAATGACGAGGGAGCAGGAATCCAAACTCTTTAAATACATACATACACTTTCCAAAAGTGAAAAATGGCAGCAAAAATAAGTAAGTATGTAAGAAATAAGATTTTATAAAGAGAGGGCAATAAAACAAACAGGGATAGAAAAAGCTGCATAATTTAAAAATTTATGATTTACTCCAATCCCGTAAACAGCTCGCAATGTGACCAAGGATTTCAAGCCTCAGAATGCCCAAGAAGCTGGCAGAAGAGGATCGTAAAAGGCAGCAAACGGTGATTCATTACAAATTTTACATACATATTTGAACAACAGCTCTGGTATAAGGACTCTAGTTCTGTAAGGTTATTGACTCAACAAACAAAACAACACATAAAATTATCTGTCCCAAAGAGACCATTATTAAGAGGAGAAACTTAAAGGAAAATTAAGATCTGATGAGGCATGAAGATACTATCAAGAAATTCAGCATTGAGAAAACGATTTCTTTAGAGAACAAGTCTTTAAGAATCCATTGTGAATGGTGCCCAAGACATTAAAAGTAATGACAAGCCATTTCCCTTGATACCACATTCTGATGAATCAAAGAGTGATTGCCGCCCTTGTGGATTCTTACCTTGGCATTCAGATAAATCAGGGAGCTTAAGGTCAGCAATGTTTTCTCACATCACATTTTGTCTCTTGCTAATTGTAAAATATAATTTAACAAAACAGGTAGACTGGTAAAAAATTAAGAGAGAAAATAACACTTTACAAGCAACAGTTACTGTCAGCATACCTGCAGAAGAAGCTGTGCTGGTCTCCTTGGATTGCCTTGGAGAGTAAAACATTGGACAATTATTTTCAATAGAAACTGAATAAAACTTATAAAGTCCATCCTTTTGATCATCTGAAGATACTCCTGCAGAAAGAAAATAAAACTGATCAACAGTTCAAAGGCATTTCACCAGACATGAACCACCCAACAGTTGTACCGGATTTACTTACAAAAAGAGGAAAGAATACAGGGGAAAGGTAGGAATCAGATAAACTGCAAACTTCCAGTGAGCCCTCATCCGGCGCATGGCACCTTGCTAGTTGACTAAGTCAGTCTTGGGTTAGCAAGAAGCAGCAAGACAAGCTGTAATGTAATATTATAAAAAAGTTAAATTAGAATGCTTCTTATCTATTTAGTTTATAAAACATGATCAAAACATACCATGTTTTAAGATGCTGTGGAACTAAGTAAGATTGCCAAGAAAAGTAACACATTCTATAAATATTTAAAATAGAAGATGAATCGAACTCCAAAATTAAAGAGTACCCATTTCATTATCTCAACAAAATACACCTGCAAAATGTAAATTATCAAGATCAAAATTTTTAAGGCCTAACTAAACATTATTTGCCCAAGAGTTTTACTGGATTTACTTACAAAACAAAGAAGGAGTTGAGAGAAAAAGTGGGAATCAAGGTATACCGCAAACTTCTGGTAAGACCTCGGACAGCGCTGAACAATTGGCTGGTCATCGTAGTCTGTCTTCAGGTCAGCCATACGCAGCAAGACAAGTGAGATTGCCGAGGAAAGTAAAACATCGGACAAATCTTATAAATAGAAAATGAATAAAAATTCATCCTTATGATCACCTGAAGACCCTCCTGCAAAAAGAAAATACAACTGATCAATATTTCAAATGCATTTCTCCAGACATCAACTGCCTAACAGTTGTACTGGATTGACTTACAAAAGGAGGAGAGAATTCAGAGGAAAGGTGGAAATCATACAATTCGGCAAACTTGTGGTCAGCCTTCAGCCAGCACATTGGAACTGCTTGGTGAGCTCAGTCAGTCATTAGGTTCGCCCTTAACAGCAAGCCAACCTGTAATTTTAAATCAAAACTGGGATCATTACATTGCTCTTTCAGTGTTTATTGAATAGCACATGGAAAAACGTACCATGTTTTCAGATGCTGTGGCACCCAGTTAAAGTTTGCCAAGAGAAGTTAAACATTGTACAAATATTTAAAATAGAAAATGAATCAAACTTTTAAAAAATACCCACTTCATTATCTCAGACAAAATACACCTGCAGCTCCTCTAGTAACAAATAAGAAAACTAAAGAGATAGGTATAGTGTTTTGATGATTAATCCTGCCACAAATTAAAAAACTCGCATATTCACATTTTCCCACTGTTTATATTTCTCATACCTTGTATGTAGAGGCATTAGCTAATCATCATAGTCACTGCCTATTTAAAATTACTCATGCACCACTGCACTCCAAAAATGCATCACAAATGTTGTGTTCCAGCGATCTTGCAAAAATAAAACATGCCACTTCCTATCCAATATTTGCTGTGTGCAGATGTGTTCTTTTGCCTGCGTGCCTGCCTTCCAGCCTGCCTCCCAGCCAGCATGCCTGCGAGCATGCTACCCTGCCTGCCTGCCTGCCTGCCTGCCTCCCAGCCTGCCTGCCAGCCAGCCAGCCTGCCAGCCAGCCAGCCTGCCAGCCAGTCTGCTACTTAAAGCATGATAACAGGAACTCAAAACTTGCTCAGTAACAAAAGGATTTAGGAAAGGAATCACACTTATAAACACGATCCAATCCATAATCTAAGAATCGACCTGCAAGACAAAAATACATTAAGTTCTAAGACATTTCACCAGACATCAACTGCCCAACAGTTGTACTAGATATACTTACAAATCAAGGAGAGTGTTCAGAGAAGAGGTGGGAGTCAAGTTATACAGCAAACTTTCAAGGAGCCCTCATCCAGCGCATAGCAACTGGCTGGTCATCGTAGTCTGTCTTCAGGCTGACAGTCATTATTCTAAAGCTCTGTTCAAATGCGAACGCTTTCTTTACTGCTGCGATTTGTCAGTGTAACGGTGTTAAATCAAACTTGTAAAAACAATCTTTTCCATTATCTGATCATCCGCCTGCAAAATAAAAATACAAGTGATCTTAAGTTCAAAAGTATTAAGCCTGACATCATTTGCCCAACAATTTTACTGGTTTTACTTACAACAGAAGGAGGACTATAGGGGCAGCAAGTAGAAGCAATTCCTTGTATTATATCAGCATTATTCACTTTACTTTAGCGCTTTCAGAAGTGCTTTAGTAGATGGCCTAGAAAAGAGTCTGTCAGACACCTTTGTCACATGTTTAGCTGCATAGGGAGAAAAGAGGAGAAAAAGACTACTACTTTAGATAATCCTTACCTAAGTGTCTCCAACCAGCAAGGAGCGATGTCCCAAAGGCAGGACATATTTCTTCCCTTGCCAGGTCAAAGAAATAATTGGATGGAGAAAGTTAAGCTGGAACACATCAATTGCTACTATGGTGCCAACAGGAAAAATTTCATACGCATTCAGGTTCATGGCGAAGCACTTTGTCTTTGTTTTCTGGCATAAGAATGAAAATTTTTCTCCATTTATCTGATACATACGTTTAACGATAGCAAACTCTGGTGGACTGTCTGCAAGGAGGATTGGGCTACCCTCTTTGAAAGTTGTCCCAAAAATCTTCACCTTTGATACCAATACAATAGTTTGCCAGTCAGGAAATGAGTCCTTGATTAAATTCACATTTCTGTTAACTGCTTTGGACACCTCCTGTTTAGGAGTGCACTCATGAACATCATAGAGATAATTTTTCTTCATCATTTGGCGGCATTTAGAGATTTCATGACGAACCGCCAGAGTCTTTAAAGGGTTCAAAAAATTGTGCAAGATTTTCAGAAGTCTCTTGAAAGAGGCATGATGACCTTCACATCGAAAACATGCAACTTGGCGAAACACTTCAAACAAAGCAATCCCATCGAATAGGTGGTGCAAAAAATGTAATTTGCCCATATTGATTTCATCAAGGGCAAGGATCATGGCGTGGAGCTTTTCAATCTTTTTTCTCAAAACTTCAACATCCGTTATATGAAACTTGAAGGCCATAGACAACTGAAGAAATTGTAACACACAAATGAGGCAATCCAAATATTCTTGATCTCCACTGAACACCATGCTGCCATCAGCTGTCTCCTTTTGTAGAACAAAAGGCAGCAGTAAAGCAAGAGTTCGCATTTGAGCAGAACTTTGTCGCAAATGCTTCGTGGGGCCTAGGTGATCCTCGAGAATTACACCTGGTCTATCAGATTCAAAGGCCTTGGACAGAGAGGCTATGTGTTCATTGACCAACGAAATTGGAAGGGCTAACTTTTCTAAGTATTGCATTTGACCAACAATGCCAGCAGTGACTCCTTACTTCAGTGGCAGTAAATTCATACCCTTCAGAGCCCAGTGAAAATATAAAGAGAAATTGAACAAAAGAAATAAGAACAGAGCAAAGTCTGATACATAACAACATGCAACTCTATTTCACCTGTCTATTTCTGAAGGCTTGACGATCCATCAAAGGACTCCATCCATTTTGTCACTCATTTCAAAGCTGCAACAGTTCTTCACAATCTTGGGGCTTCACTCTTTGGAAGAACGGCTGAACCCTGCACCAAAAAACAGAACAAACCGTTCAACATTACAATTCACCAACTTCAGACCTCTGATGATTTAACTCCCTCTGATAAAAAAGTGCATTTAAAATAAACAACAAAACGGCAGACTGAACAGTCTGTACAAGTTAAGAAAGAAATTTTTTAAGTATTAATTTTGAGCAACATTGCCAGCAGCAAATTCACACTCTTCATAGCCCAGTGGAAATACAGAGAGAAATTGAACAAAAGAAATAAGAGCAGAGCAAAGTCTGATTCCATAACAACATGCAACTCTAATTCACCTGTCTATTTCTGAAGGCTTGAAGATCCATCAAAGGACTCCATCCATTTTGTCACTCGTTCCAAAGCCGCAACAGTTCTTCACAATCTCGGGGCTTTCACTCCTTGAAAGAACGGGTAATTTCTGGGAAAAAAAAAAAAATCCAACACTGACTGTTCACATTACATTGCCATAGCTTTAGATCCCAATGAGTCACTTCCTCTAAAAATGAATGATGCAAAATGAACAAAGATATGAAGGGCTAGACATATTTTTGTTTATAATGTTAAAATTCCTGCAGCCCACTGTGAGACAAACAAGTATAAATTAGGAAGCCGCCTGCATGATTATGAAGATTTGGATAGTGCAACCAAATTATTGCAAGATATTGCTTGCGATAACACTCAATAGAGGAATATTACAAGATATTCTCTCCAACTGTCCTTTACACAGAGTCCTCAGGACCATGTTAACAATTATTTTAGGACTATACAGGGGCCTGGCTACTCACTTTGTATCCTGCTTCCATCTTGTTGCATCTGATTTGAACTTAGTGATAGGTGCGAAGTTGTCTGTCTACTGCATACCTCCGCTGAGATGTCACCACCACCATGATCATGGAATCTTCCTTCAGTTCCTGAGCAACAAGACAATGTATCACATTAGGCAAGAGCAGTAACAGAAGGAGAACACACACTAAAAAGCTCTGTACGTTTCGGGATTGTGGTTAGGTTGTCCAAAATACAAAACGAAATTAGCGTAACAAGGCGAAAGAAAACGTGTCGAGGCCAAACGAGACGCAACACATATGCTAAGGCGAAGAATGAACCAAGGAGTGGATAGCAGTACCATAATAGCGTTGTATTGAGAAAAAATACCACTCACGTTCTTGCACACTTCGTTCGGAGACGAAATCAAAAAACAACAACATACGCGGGGCCGCATCGCAAACGTCTCCTGATCCATTCACACTAGTTCGCCTGGACGCTGAGAGAGCCTCGTGACCCCGTGGTACCGGGGATAGCTTCTACCGAAAGCCAGAGGTCTCTTCTTTCAGCACACCATCATCACATAGTTCCTACGCCAACCTTACGACGAAACGCACTGCTCCAACTCCACTGCCGGTTTCGGAGTGCGTTCTTTCGGACGCCACCGCGAGTCAGCAGCTGATCGGGTCTGCCAAAAGCAACAAGGGCCTTTATTTTCAGTCGAGCTCTTTAGTGCCAATAGGTCAAGATGGCGAGTTTGCAAGTTGTTCTGCTTGAATTATTTTCATTGTTTACAGCGAGATTTCAACCATGTCACCTATTTTGGAATTGTGCTCAGTGTGGATTTCGAAAAATCCATACAGAGGACTGTCACCTTATACTCATACATTTGTTAGCGAAGTTTAATCACTAAGCCCTTCACTCGTGTAAATTTTGTCAGAATGTCAGAAACATGTCTGAAATCCTGATCAAAATTCGCGCACCTCTGAAAGCTGAAATTCTGAAAACTTACTCTGATATTGATGGTGTAAGTTCTACAGAATGTTAGGAGATGTTTTCAGCTTTCAGAGGTGCGCGAATTTTGATCAGGTTTTCAGACAGGTTTCTGACATTGTGATAACATTTACACGAGTGTTTGCACTGTAGTGGGGACTGATGCAACAGTTCCATGGGACTGGGGTGGGTTTCGTTGTTGAAACTTTGGGGATGTTTACCTAACACTTTGGCCCACCTCTCCTCAAAATTTCAAGTTTCTAGCTAAATTCTAGCAAGAGTTATAAGAAAAGGAAAAAGTGGGGCTTAAATTTTGACGGCCAGTGTACTATGAGCTACTGCATCCACCATAAGCTAACTTATACTACGTTTACACGGGGGAGCTAGCCTCGGTCAACTCGAGGGGTGGGGGAGTGGAGGGGAGACACCACTCAGCCAGGGCTAGCAGACGTGGTGTTCACGCGTTGCCGGGGAGCGTTGTTGGGGTGACTTTCTAACCTCAAGATAGCCCAAACAATTTCGAATTTAAGTCGAAATCAGGTCGAAATTTGCGTTGCGCAATAGACAATAGATATTTTTATTCAGAAACAATCAGTTACAAGTGGTAAAAATCAAAGCAATAAAAATTACATAAAATAAAATAAGTAAATTAATGATTTCATACAACGGAAAACTTCTTCCCAAGTTTTTCCAACGATTTCACAGGTGTACTCATAATAATAGAAAATAGATGGGCCTACAACACCTCAAAAACACTGCGCACACCTAACCTCACTTGACCCTGTGGTGTTTACACGTTGGAGTTAGCCTCGGTCAACGAGTTAGCCAGGGTAGCTCGAGGGGGCTAACTCGTTGACCCACCTACGTGTTCATGCGCGCGAGTTGACCCCGGCTAGCTCGAGACCTACCCCCTCCACTCCCCCACCCCTCGAGTTGACCGAGGCTAGCTCCCCCGTGTAAACGTAGTATTACCTTCTTATTTTGCATCGCTCCCCGGCCACGAGGCTAGGAAAAACTGGGTAGGGATGAGAACCACTGCGCTACGTAGTGGTGTTTGATGGGTTGCCTACCCGCGGGGAGAGGAGCTGGGGGGAGAAGGAGAGGTTGGAGTCAGGGCGGACACAAGTAGGATCGTTCCACGTTTTTTTTTCAATACTTATTTTTAAATGGATTATATTTAGAAAGAGATGAAATTTATTAAAAATGTACGTTTTAGAAAATAAATAAATATTTTAATTTCAATAATTTTTATTTAATTATAAACCGATTTATTTCTTTTATTATTTATTCTATTATTTTATTTATTTTAGCATTTATTATCTTATTTAATTGAAGAAATATATGGGGGTGACCTTAGGGAAGGGTAACCTCAGGAAATCGGCTTTATAAAAAAAATAAATTTAAAAATGATTTTAAATAAAGGAAATTAGGGGGGGTAACCTCAGGGAAGGGTAACCTCGGGTACCTACCCGTTTTTCGGGCCGAATGCACCGTTCAGATTCTATGGGCAATTTTCGTTTTCTCTAACAACTTTTGACATAACTTGGCCAAAATTAAAAAATCACCTTTCTGAGGCCTCGATTGAGCTCAAAATGTGGTATCTTACGTAAAATCACGCGAGGAACACACAGTAAAGTCCTTACGGATAGCGTGTTTGTAGGTTACGGATAGTTTTGTGCAGCCGTATTACGGATCAAATTTTTGTTTGTAATACGGATATTTTTGTCCGTAAACAAATTTTTGATGTCCGTAATTGACAGATTATTTCGTTGTAACGTACGGATTCCCAAATCGTTGTATTACGGACAAAAACATCCATATTACAAATAAAATTCGATCCGTAATATGGCTGCACAAAACTATCCGTAACTAACAAACACGGTATCCGTAAGGTCTTTAGCGTGCACGAATCCGGTGCCCGAAAAGATGTTTTGACTGTTTTTCAGTTTTTGTAGTGGTTTTATTTTCCTGGGGGTTTTGGTGTTCAGCATCGATTTTCGCCAATCCGATGAGTGGAATTTATAGATACAGGACCAAACTATTATATTCCGAGATAAAAAGTTTGTGTACGCGGCGCGAAAAGCAGTGGCGCTGCAAAAATTGAAAAACCGTCATTTCTGGGTAGTTTTAGATCAGATTAGCCACCTTTCGCGTGACCATCTCGGCCCCATTTAGAGTCAAAATATTGTCCCAAGTGATGTCAGAGTTGGTGTGAAATTTCACCGCTGTAGCTCCAGTAGTTTGGGAATGGCAGCTTTCTAAAGTTTTGCAATCACGTAAGGTATTTACTTTAAAGGGGGACCCTGGTGAAAAAATCGCCAAAATTGACAAAAATAGTATTTCCAAAGTTCATAGATAAAAATGTGCTTAGAAGGTTTCAGATTCAACAGGTTGAACACCTTTAAGCTAAGTGGGTAGTTTCTTTATCTTTTGGGAAGGAAATAACATTGAGATCAGTTGTCGTTGGCTTCTACGCTCAACTTCACAGCTTTGCTCAGTCGACAAAAAATTTTGTCGTAGAAAGACTTCCTGCGTTCCTGGTTGACACCTACATGAATCGTCTTGCATGGATTTATTCATTGATGACTTGTCGAAAAATTTTTAGTGACGGAATCTTTCAGTCTTATTTTTTTTAAAACACACCAAAAAGCTTGAAAAAAGGAAAAAAAAATCTTTTTTTTTTAATGTTAAAATTTGAAAACTGAATCTTAGGACAGAAGTTGAATTTGATGATTCCGTCACAAAAATCTCTTCTATACATTTTAAAGGAAAACCCCAAAAAAAATTTTCAAGACTTTCCGTCCCAATGAAAGACGCAGGAAGATTTTTCCCCAACGCTCTAAAACACACTAAAAAGCCACTTTTCTCAGAGACCGTTCAACATTTTGGATTGAATTTTGTTTTGGGAACTCACCATAATAAACCTAATAATTAAGCAAAGTTTCAACTTTCTGGGATTATTTTGAAGCCTACTTGAAAGTTTCACCAGGGTCCCCCCTTAAGAAGAATTACGGTAAATGTGGAGACTTGTCACAGATCGGGTTATAAATGAGATAGATGTGTGCGTCAAAGTTTTCTAAGCGTAATTTGGGACAATTAATCCGATTTTGCCGGTACGAAGACCCTAAACTAAAACTATGTTTTTCGTGAAAACCATATAAAAATGGCTTTTTTTCCGACTTCAGAGTCCACCCAGGGTCTTCGTACCGGCCAAATCGGATTCCTTGTCCCAGAGAACTTTGACCCACCCATCTGTCTCTTTTATTACCCGATCTGCGACAAGTCTTCACATTTACCGCAATTCTACGTAAAGTAAATACCTTACGTGATTGCGAAACTTTAGAAAGCTGCTATTTCCAAACAACTGGAACTACAGCGGTGAAATTTCACACCAATTCTGACATCACTTGGGACAATATTTTGACTCAACATGGAGCGGAGATGGTCACGCGAAAGGTGGCTAATCTGATCTGAAACTACCCAGAAATGACGGTTTTGCAATTTTTGCTGCGCCACTGCTTTTCACGCGGCGCACACAAACTTTTTATCTCGTAATATGATAGTTTGGTCCTTTATCTATAAAATCCACTCATCGGATTGGCAAAAGTCGATGCTGTCCATTCCATTGTCACACATGGATAGGATTTTTTTGCGTAGAATCTAAAAATGACCTCGTTTACTCAGTTCAATGCAGTTTTGACAAAGTTCTGTTTAATTTGGTTCGGCCGCGGGGCCCCGGGCCCCCCCTTCCCGGGCCCGAGCGGTGCGCATGGCTTCACGCGCGCACTAGGCTGCTGCTACCCCCTGCTCGTGCGACACGCCATTCACTGTAAAAATTAATCTTCGGAATAATCTACGGATCCTTCGGCAAAAATTGCCGACGGTTCCTTCGTGAATTTACGAAGCTCTTCGTGTATATACAGAAACCTTCGTAATTATTTTAAAGGACCTTTGTCGATTTTGCAATTACAATGGAAGCATCTTCGTACATCTACAAAGATTCTTCGTAAATTTACAGGGAACCTTCGTTAATATACGAAGAACCTTCGTAATTATAGGTCTGGAATTAACGACGGATCCTTCGGCAAAAAAATTGCCAACAGTTCCTTCGTTTATTTACGAAGGTCCGTCGTATATTTACGAAGGGCCGTCGTACACTGCGAGAAAAAACTTCTGAGAATCTTGTTTATTTTTTCACAGCGTCGCTCTGTACCCGAAACCACAGTGACCTCCGTTTTTTAAAAGACGGAGCTCACTGTTGTTTTGTGTTTATCTCTCTTTTGTCCGAGCGGCCTTTGCCACATCGGACGGCATGGTCGAAAGCCTCATAGGTCACCGTTGGGTCCCCGAGGACATCGACGGGCACCTCACAGGGTCCCCGATGACGATGCGAGCATTTTAGAGCTAGGTTCCGACCATTCGTTGATAAGGTCTCGCCAAGATCTACTCGCATCAAGAATAAAAAAAAAATTTTGATCAACCCCCTTTTTTAAGATCCTGATTGGTCAACTGGATCTTTAAAAAAAGATCTTGGGAGACCTTTTAACGAATGGTCGGAACCTAGGGCTAAAATGCTCGCATCGTCATCGGGGACCCTGTGAGGTGCCCGTCGATGTCCTCGGGGGCCCCAAAGGTGACCTATGAGGCTTTGACCATGCC